TACATTTGTCCTCCCTCCAACCCTCAACTACCCAAGAGAAATATAGATGATTCTCAATTTAATTGCTCAGATTGAGGGTGTAATTCTAAATTAAATCAACTGAACAGCAACTGTTCTTCCTCCCTAGCCCTTATTTCCTTGGAGCAAGAAATTGAATAGTGTTGAATTCTGGTTTACAGATTCCCAGGTAAAATGTTTCCATATTTTCCATGAGGGATTTTTGAAAAATCTTAGATTATCTGGAAAACAGCTATCTGCTGCATATCCTATCATCTCATCTATAATTCAGGAGAGCTGTAGTGACAAGATAATTTCAAAATAGCATGATGAAACCAGTTCTGGACCCCTTAGAACTAATAAAGGCTTCCCATACTCTATTTTTCTCAATTTAACAGTTGGTTTAAGGATGTGAATTTTTGTTTAAATTAGGGGGAAATTTTGGTTGATGGATTTGCCTTCTATCATAAAGATCTAATTTAAAAGAACATTTATGGGAAAGCCCAACACATGTTACTAATAACCTTACCAAACCCAAAAATGCACTGGCCTCAAAGTGGAACTACCCCACTGGGACGCCAAGACTGTAAATCTTTATGGAAGCAGATACTGCATCTTCCTCCCTCTGGGCTGCGGGGAGGCTTGAAACACTGATAAACAGCCAAGTCCTTTAACTACTATGCCACCAGGGCTCCTTGATCATCTCACAGAATTATTAATTTCCAAAACATAATTTAATATTATTTTACTATCATTTACTTGCTACATGCATCCTCTCAGTTGGTAAGTTTGTTTGCTTTGCTTTTCTTTTTTATCCATTTTTAAAATCTTACTGGACTAAGTAACAAAAGGAGAAAGGTGTTCTTGATATCAAATGAAAAGCAAATCAAATTTAAACATTCTGAAACTTCTACTTTTTCAAAACAAGTAAAAAATGCCAAAGGTTTAATACAACTCTACAAACTGCCCTTACTTTAAAAAAGATGTTCTGTATGTTAGGACTTCCAATCAAATTCCGTGAATATACCATTATTTCTTAGAGGAATGCCAGATTGATAGAACTCAACAGCCCTTCTAGAAGTAAATGATGTGACAGTAGAGACCATTCAGGTTTTTGTAAAGTTAGAGATGATGGAGTTTCCATGTGATGAAAAAAGGACAAATTTCAATTTTAATTGAGAAAGAATCTTCAGGTCCAAGATTGTGAGCTAGGTTTTTTGCTTGTTAAGTAAAAAATAGTTTAGAGTTCTCTCATTTTTACTTCTAAGACATTGTTTTAAAAATATCATTACCTATCTAAATCTTGCAGGGCAGGATCCTCATGGGTCATGTACTGCTGCCTATGAACTCTGCTGATTCCTGAGGGTTTTGTGGTCAGTGGGGGCACCAAGAAAATCCAAACCCAAAGGACCACAGCTCTAACAGGAAACAGAGTGAAAAGACCCCCAGGGCATCTCCTGACTCTCAGCCTTTGCATACAAAGAACAAACAATACCAGCTAACCAAGATACTATCCAGGGAAGGAACGTTGGTTTCAAACAAACACACAGGATTGGACAATGGACAATATTCCAAAGAAAACATATATGTGCACAGTATTTTCAGGACCTGGTAAGACAAGACATTTTTATTTGCTTCTTGGTGTTCAGTGTAAATGAAAGTTTTGTTCTTGAATGCATCCTTTTCCAGTGTTATGAAGCATTCTTGGAGACAGATGATGATGGATGAGAGCGAGAATGATGAGAAGGACATGATGGGATATAGATGACAGGTCGGAGTAAGGGATGCTTCTTGCCTTGCTCTAGCCTCATACTCTTGTTTCAGTTCAGGGAGGAGGCATCCTTCCTGATGCAGCTAGACCTCTGCTCTCATTTGGAGAAAGGGGTTAGCTTCAAGTATCAGCTTCTAGAATCTAACCTCTCACTATCTCATGCAGCACATGTCAGTCTTTGCTATAGTTCCCCCTGCTGATTGGTACTGGCACCCCACAAGATTTTGTGATGTCTCTCCATTCTAGGGCATAACACATATTGGCAATGCTTCCCCACATGCTGATGTCTCAGCTGAGTACAGTTCATACATAGAGATAGACAACTCAGGAACCCAGTCTGTCTAGGGGTTCCATGGGAGAGATATCATAATAAAGCAAGTAAGATAAGTTCCTATCTGTCACCAGTGACATTTGATTATCACATTAAATGAGAAATAAACATCGTATATTTTGCTACATAATCCGAAGTGAAAGTAAGGTAGTTTGTGCAAAATAAAGCCCGTGGAAATGCAAATAGCCTTGACTTTGGCGGTAGGGGAAAGTAGCAGAAAGCCCTTTCCTAACACTGGTTTTCAGATCTGGGTTCTCACTGTAAGGTTTCCTCAGGCGTCTTACTCAACCTGCACCTCTCACATCTTGAACCTCCTGTTAACAAAGAACAGAGTAAAACACCGTTAAGGCAGATTTCAACCAGTGACATATCCACCTGTGGGATCTGTTGAACAAAGCTGCCACTTCAGAGCCTCCTGTTCCAATGTAAGTAGCTGCCTGTAAAGTTCTATGGATCCTCAAACAGTACAGTACTTCAAAATCACACGCCATTTGTCTCCCTTCAGAGGCCCTGAACAGAGTGAGGAAACTACTGAAAGAGACAACCATGGTAGAAACAGAAAGAAAAATGGGATGGAAGGTGAGATGAAAGGCAAAGATGTGAGCAGAGAAAGCCCAAAAATTGGGCTACAGACAACAGCATGAAGATAATGTGAGGATAGGCAACACCAAATAACAAGACAGGGCCACAAAAACAAACAAACAAAAAAAGCATACAATTTTTTTACTGCTGACATACTCTCTGCCTGAGAGAATGTGATCAGCCAGAGAGACTCATACTTACACCAAACCTGGGGGCCAGTTAGCTCCTAGGCTTCCATCCTGGGCAGTCTTGCATTCCAGAGCTTGAGGGTCTGCTCAGGAGGCCTGGAGCTGGGCCTCTGGAAAGCCCTCTCATGAAAGAGATACTTCCAACTGCTTCCCACTATCAAATCCCCCCAGCATCTTCTAGATGATGTCAATGATTACCACCAGGCCTCAACAAGAGGGTGAGCCAGAGAACAGCAGTCTGGAGGAACAGGAGATTCAGTAGGGCATCATGACAGCCCTGCACCATATTCAGGTTTCACTCTCACCACAGAATCAAATTCTGGCTGCTTTATGCATCCCTGGCCAGATTTACCACTATTTTCAAGTTTCATAAGCTGCTGAGGAAAATTGCAGACCAAGAAGATGACCAGGGCCAGAAGAGCCATATATAAGCAAAGTGAAACTTTCACTAAAATTCTTGACACAGGGTCCAGTCTTTTTTGGTCCTTGAAAATCAGCACCAGATCCCCAACATGTGGATGGGACTGAGGTGGTATTTCCCAGGGGGGCATAGCTAAAGCCTTGGTTGGTCACCTTAGGGACAGCATTAGCTTACCTCCTGTTGGGCAAACAGCTCAACAAGATGCTCCTGCCACCATGTTCTAGGCACTGAGCATATACGTGCTATATGGAGATTTACTCATAGGTAAGAACCGATGGTGACTGGGCACATGAAGGTGGCCTTCCCCAGGGTTCTTTTGTAAGGGTAGGACTAACCAGCCAAAGACCCAGGGTATGGAACTTCCGTTGCCTTCCTGAGACTCAGGGGAGTAAGGGAGGACCTGACTAATGCCAGGGGTCTGCCAACCAGTTAGCACCCCACTGATAGCCATCCAGGTGAAAGGGACAAATGTCCCTCTGTGCCAATAGCAACCCATCTGGTCAAAGAAGAAAAGGAATGGCTTTAAGTGTTCACTGATGTAACTACACCCAGCATGCACAGTGTGAGGGGACACCTGCTCCTGGGTCAGAATCGTAGGCCAGCAACTAACTCTGAGGTTTAATGTTACTGAAATTCCTCCTCTCTTTTCCCCAGCATCTTACTTCTCTGCAACATTTAGAATAATTAGAATGAAGTATACAGGGAAGAATGTGAGTTTGAGGTAAGGGTGGAATGAAGACTCAAGAAATTCAAAGGGTCTTTCTTCATATATATCATTTCTGGAGTGCCTCATCCAGCTATTTTCCTCCCACCATTCAAACCAGGGGCTATCTCACAAGTCAGAGAAGTTTGGCAAGAAATCACACTCAGATATAAATTTATATGGATAAAGGTATGTTCTGGAACTTAAATCATGTTCATTTTAAGTAACTGTTTCCTAGGGATGAGGACCAAGACAGCTGTGTCCAGAGCCTTGGAGACTCTCTCAGATCAGGGCTCCATCTTAAAGAATCTGCAAGATTTGCTCTGGGAAGAGAATTCCTGAGAAATATATTCACACCTGCTTTCTGGAAATTCGGGATCTGCTCCTATCACCACCACACTGAGGCAGAGCTGTTTATACACACTTGCAGGTTAGTAAAGGAGAGCTGATGTTCTTCCCTTTAAGTGGTGACAAAGTGAGGGAGGACCAGCCAATGGGTACTGGTAAGCCACAGTCAGGTGTCAGAGACAGAGTACATGATGCTTCACATGGGGCTGCCACCACTCCAACTCTGAAGGCCATGGCAGGGGTGCCCACTAGGAAGAGAAGGGGTATGAGGCTGCCTTTGCTAGCAAGTTGGGTCCATGGCATACAAACTGCAAGTGCCTGGTGCTGTGTGAGTGTCTAGATGCAGCCTGCTTAGAAAAGGAGCACAGAGAAGACCCTGGTGTTCTGGAAACACTGGCCACTTTAGACAGTCATGAGCCGTAGCCTCTGTCACATAACTCAATCCAGTGTCTGCACAACTACATTCTTAATAATTTAGCAGACCAAGAAGGGCCGAGGCAGATAGGAGAGTGACAAAGCACTGCTCCCACCATGAAAGTCTGAGAACCTACCCCAAGAGACAGGCAGGCCGCTGGGAAGGGGAGTCAGAGGCAAGTTTTACAAAGCGCTGGAAGAGGCAAGGGCAGAGTGCATGCGGTCCGTCTCGAGATGGCAGATAACTAGTTTTTCCTTTTCTGAGCAGCCTTTCTCTTCTTCTGTCGCTTCTTTTTTCCTATCTTTTCTTTTTTCCCCATTTTTTCTTCTCTGCGCCCCCTTAGATAAAATTAGTAGAACCATTAATAATGTTGAAATAAACAGAGCTTCTCTCAATCTATTTAATACTGGCCCACACATAAATTTAACTCTGCTTTCAGTCTCATGCCCGGAAGTCCCTGGGCATTGTGTAACCCGTTCGAAAAAATTAGAAGGTGCCCTCAATTAAGAAAACCTGTTAAGTGGGCATCCGTAACAGCCATGAAGTAATTATAAACTTGAGTATCTTCCCATCTTCCCCTGGTTCCTGCCATGTTCTGTCATTCCCAACAAGGGCAAAGGATTCATATTTAAAGCCATGTGGCCAGTCTTCTAACCCACCCCTATTCACACATGCTCTTGCAAAATTGGTCTTCTTTCTGAAGAAATAGCTTTCTCAGTGCAGAGTTGAATTCTCTTCTTTACCGAAAAAAAAAAACAAAAACCTCCACTTTGCAAATTTAAAAAATTTAAAAAACAAAAGCTTTTTAGAGTTGGGAGGAATGTGGTTTGGTCAGTCATTCAGGAGAGGAGAAAGAAGACAACCTAATGCCACCTTCTCCTTCCTGGATGACTCCATGACCACCTACCGGGAAAGACTGGGATTGTTCTGGAGAGCAAAGAGAAAGTAGGTTAGCATAGTCTTATTAGAGCAACTGGCTCATGACTGTCACATTAAGATGATTCAAGCTGGATAGTATTTAGTGATTTATGGGATGAGGCCACCTGCTCCTGTGAAAGCTTGGAATTAACCATGGGCTGGAGTCATCAGATTTTTACGTGGTAAAATGGGAAAGCTGGATATTACTAAGGTTGAGTTTCTGGAGATTACATGGGGTGTTAGGAGCACCAAGGAGAAGGAAATTGGGGGAGAGGAATTAGTGAATCAAATATTGATCATTAGAAACTAGTACTGTCATTTTCATTGGGTTGGAGAGAGTCACAAAAACTTGAGCAAAAAAATCCAAGCTGCTCATCAGAAAAATCCCTGTGCTGTCATTCACTTAAAAACTCAGCCAAGGGGACATAAGGCAAATGATTGGCAGGCCAGCTTATTTTTATAAACTTCAGGAATGATATGAGTTCCCTTTCTACAAACTAATGAAGTTCGTGTCAGATAAATAAATCCCCACATACAGTAGGAGGTTTATACCATGAAACCATTAGCATTTTATTGCTAGTGCATATAAGATCACATTGAATACAATCTTAACACAAGTGAAAAATTACTCTATGGCTAACATTAAAAAACAGCTTTCACATTTATATATATATAATATATATATATTTCTTTACAAATTGCCAGTAGTTTCAGATACTAGAGGAAGGTAACCTACTGACATTTGTATGGCTCCACTTCAAATATATGACTTGTTTGACTATAAATATATTCTGAAGTATATTTGTTTTCTACAGTAACAACAAAAAATGTGCATAGAAAATATATTTAAGAAAAAATTGCCTTAAAAAAATTACAAACACCACTAGGACCATCTGTGGATTCCATTTATGCAACAGTCATTTCATCTTGCCAGCATTTCTGATTAGTGGCAAGGTACTGTTAAATTTATTTATTTTTATGTTTGTATACTTCTGATTTGAGAAACCTCAGAGTTTGCAGGGCCTCAATGGCATACATGAGCTTTTATCAGAGGCAATCACCGAAACCAAATTCCTCAAAGCAAGCTCTTAAATGTAAAATTGCATTTGATTCCACAAAGACTTGTCTTTTATGGAAAAGTATGGACATAATTTCCTGTCCCCAAGGAGTGGGGCAGTTCTATTTTAAAAGGAAGCCCCCAAATGTTCTCACAGAGGGTCCAGGGAAGAGGGGTGGAGAGAGGAAGGAGAGGGATCATAGGTGAGACCTGTGATCTCCCTCTTTCCCACTGCTGTGGTATCTGATCAGGCTATAGAAATAAGAAGCAGAAGCAAGATGAAAGCATGCTCGTGGGGTCAGGGAGAGACAAGAAGACCAGGGAGATTCTCTGAGCACATTCTCCATCATTGAGGATTTCTGTGGTGGAATTACAGATCCAATAACTGAATTTGACATAGGAGTGAGGCTCGTGGCTTTTGCCTAAGTACTGAGTCAGTACCTGAACAGGGAAGCAATTCCAGAAGGGGTGCACCATCCAGGAGCACCCTCTGTCTGGAGAAATGAGACATTTTTAGTTCCCTGCAGACTGTCAGTCTGACTATGCTCGTAGACTCTCCAGGAAAGAAGAAAAGAAACTGCAAAACAGATTTTGAAGTAATCATTGATCTAAAAATGATGATGATAATGATAATGAGAGGGCTGAGTGATGAGAAATACTGTTTAGGTAATATAATGTCTTAGAAAAACCCCAGTTAGAAAGGATTCAACATACAAAGGAATGGACATAGATACAAGCTGCAATATCGTACCATATACTATAAATGCATGTGTGTATACACTGGGCAAACCTCGAGACCATTCCCAGGTCAGTGCTTTATCCCATAGGTATACTTGGTCCTTATGATTCAGGCCATGCTTCCCCAAAATTTTTCCCTTTTGTTTCTCATACGGTTTTAGTTTTTCCTCGAGTGGATTTAGTGGAATATCCTGTTTGACTGTTGTGCTTACTTGTTTAAAGCTTTCTCCAAGTATTCTTGAATCCACTTTAATTTTGGATCAATACACACTTGTCTGTTGTTGTTCTTCAGCCTTGCCCTGCCAAAACAGAAAAGACTAGTGTACAGGGGAGTAGATAAAAGCAAGCTCATAATTTGTGTATTTGATCACTTCTTATCCATTTTATAGCCCTTAATGGAAGCAGGAGTGGCATCCACTTTCTAAACAATATGCCTTCAGAAACTCTATGAACTTTGATAAATGTCAATAGTTGTAGGTCTTCAAACCTTTTGTTCATAGGGTCTCAGTGAGTTGTGCTCGACTTGAAGGCAATCAAAAACAACTGGTACCAGGAGCTCTACTTGATAGGTCCTGATTCTAGAGGAGCTTAAAATCTACTGGGAAACCACAATATTAACAGTGTAGTAAGTTTCACTGTAAAGGTATAATAAAAGTTAAAAAATAATCCATACACGGGAGTCCAGGGAAAGTTTATGTAAGGGGACATTTGAGCTGGTCCTTGAAGGCTGGCAAAAAGAAAGAGCAAATGCACGATGCAAAGATGATATGGAAGAAGGGGGAGATAAGATGTTTGCCAGCGGTCCTTGAAGGCAACAGGAAAGAGTGGAGAATGAATCTGCACGGCACTATCTGCATTATAGACATGTTTAAGGCTTTTAAATTTAAAAAAGACACAAGTTACTTTTTACAGGTTATCTTGATAATACATAGAAGACAGAGTAAGAATAATCCTGGAGATCCAGGCCATCTGTAAGGCAGTACTGTAACAGTCTATGCACTTTGTAGAATAGATAGTAACAGTATGAGTGGAGGTGACAGGGCAAGTTGAGCAGTGACAGTAAAGATGGAAGAGTAATAGTATGAACATTGAGTGATAATACAGTCAAGGCTAGTGATAATGTAGGTGGGAGAGTGAAAGTCCTGGCAGGACTGCCAGAAAATGGTTTCCAAACAGATTTTTTACAATTCATTAAACATTCCACAATTTCATTTGATTTTTAGTCTAGACACTACTTTTCTTTTACTCTTCACCTCTACTCACAGCTTTCCTGCATGAAAACTCCCAGGAAAAACATTAATTTCTTTTTCTCAGTCCATAATCCTGCTCAGCTACTAAAGATCTAAAGATAGCTAAGTTGCAGCATAAGAGTTGAGGAACACTGCACATTTTTTAAGCTGCTCAGTGGCAAGTGAGGCTGTGCAGAGCCTAACTACAGTTTGAAACCAGGTGGGTCTTTGTTTATATATGGGTAACATTGTTTATTAATTATGTACTTTCCTGGATCTGAGAATTATATTTGTCATCCTAAACTTTCTGCTACATCCCTAGACACATGAACTCACATAATCTCTATTATGAAGCACATTGACACTATCTGACTCTAGTATCTGATAACATACTCCTCTCAGGAGATTCAATATTTTATCCTAAGCAAGGTAAGAGAAGAAATATTCACTCTTCAATGTCCTAAGATATAGTGTAAATGATGAACACATTCAAGAAGCAAAGGCTAAAAAAATCCAATGTTTAAAAGAAGTAAAACAAGTTCAAATGTAAAGTAATTGAACCATAAGTCATCATACAGCTTTCTTTTCATCTACTAATTCTTTAGCCCATTCTGTCTAGCATAGCTTCTGAAGAATGGAGACATCTCAGGAGACTTATATACAAATGTAGAAGATTTGTGCAGATGATCAACCACTGGATTTCTTCCAGACTCTCTCTACTATGCTCAAGGTGAGACAGGCATCATTTAATCATAATTTTGATCTCTTTTGTTTTCCACAAATATGAAAATCAAATGTTAACAGGTGCCAGCAAGATGAATCAAAACCAAAAAGGCATGCAGCCAAATGAGTTGAAAATGTTGCGGTTTTAACAAATGTTAAAGAGAACTTAAACTGAAATTTAGATCTTATAAGGTTTTGATACATCATAAAATATTAATTTAGACCAGAGCTTCAAATTATTTCTTTTCAATTCAGTCATGCCAATGAAATAAAACTAGAAGAGAACAGAATTTGTAAAATTTGGATGAACTGGGAACATAACCAGAATGGGGAAAATTGTAGGTCAATGTCCTACTAGAAGCTTAAACTTCTGTCTTGGAAAACAAGGGCACCATGTACATTAATAGAAACCAAATCTTTTAATCAACAGAGTACAAAACAATGGTTCCTGGTTCAAAGATGGTGGATGATCAAGCTGCTTTTAACGCATTTCACTCTATAGTTCTGATAATAATCCAGTCTCTAGTATCACCTTCTAAAGGGCTGGTTTCTTTTCTGAGCCTCTCATTACAGGGCTTCCTCCTATAATTTTTCCCATTTAAGATTCTACTTCATGTACATTAAAAAATTCGGGTCTATTCTAATTTCACTTTGAATTGGTTCAAACTGACTCAAAGCCCTGATTTACAGCTGCAAAGGTCAAAATTAGGCAGGAAAGATATATCTGTTACCAGCAAAATTTGACTTTTGAAATGGACTTTGGCAGAAACCTTGGGGACAGCCCATCATTTCTCTGGAAGTATCTAGTCATACTACCACCCTGTGCTAGAAGAAGGTAGCTTTAAGAGAGCGGCTGCACACAATAACACATAATAGTTTCTATTATTGTTATGGTAGCCCCCAACTCAGATGATACTGTGCACGATGGAACAAAGTGTGCCCTTTCCTGGTATTGCCACAGCCTATAAATATGCCAAGGAGTCTCTGGGCAGCACAAATGGTGAAGTGTTTGACTATTGACCAAATAGTTTTAATCCACTCAGAGACACTCTAGGGTCAACTTTTAAAAGATATCAAGTCACTGAAAACTATAGAGCTCAGTTCTACTTAGCACACAAGGGCTCATGTTGAGGGAAGCTGGTTTAGTTTTAATTATGCTAAGTGTAAAGTTGGATGCTAGACACAAATTATTTCTAAACCTTTAATGTCTCTGTAAGTTAGGTGTTAATATGTTATCAGAGACAATATTCCTAAAGGGTAATGTTCAAGACTTAGACAATCTTTATTACTCAGTCAGAAAAGGAAATTAAGTGTATGTGACAACAAAGATGGATTTTGAAAGCATTATGCAGAGAGAAATTCTATACATCTCATTATATGGAGTTGAAACTAACTCACAGTTGGCCTTCCAGCAAGTTTTCAGAAGCTATAAATTACACAGGAGATTGACCCTCTTTCTCCTGAGGAACAACTGGTGTACTTTAAGCACTTGCCTTTGAGTTAACAATGCAAAGAACAAGGACTGTATGATCTCACGCACATGAAATAAGCAAATAAACCAGGAGTGGGAGTAAAAGAGCATAGGGGAGTTTTTTCTGCTTAAGAGACACTGAATTTATATTAATAATGGGCTAATGAATTGGAAAAGGGTAGACAGGATAGTGACATGAGAAGAATGCAATCAATGTTAATAGACAGCACAGGTAGAAATTGTAATACACAACAACTAAAATAAAACGAATAAAATAAAATACTTACACTATCTGAAGGGCACAGTTTGGAGTGTTGAGAATTTTAAGATGCTTGACGTTGGCTCTGGCAACATGGCTCTCGAAGAAACGACAGGGACATCTGTAGCTGAGGCCAACGGGCTTTCCTAGAAGCAGTAACAAGAGAAACGCAAAGGGTTATTCTGCTAGCTGTGGAGATGCACAAAGGTCTGGGTCTGTAGACCAAGATGGAATGAAAGAGAAAGTGGATAGGGCTAGTGTGTTAAAGCTCAAAAGCAATGCTATGTGTTTCTGAGAAAGACTATATTGGGCAGATGTATTCTGAGGAGAGATTCAACATATACAGAGCAAGAGGACAAAAGTAGCTGGGCATAGGATGGGTAAGAGATTGAAAGAAGTTTGTTTCTTAGATACATTGAGATAAAAGCTGTAATTAGAACAGAGAATGGTTTCAAAAAATGTACTTTACATTTCCAGATTTTCCTTGGCAAAATAGACTCTCCTTAGGAACAAGTGAAAAGATGGTTGGTTATTCAGGAAAGGAAAGTCGGGGAGGAAGTCCTATCAAGTCAGTCCCTTACCCTTCCTTCCCGCAATCCCTCCCTCTCTCCTCTAGGATCACTTCATCCCCAACCCAAGGCAGCTCCCAGGAATGCAGCTCTTCCCCAACTGCAGTCTACCCTACCAGCTTTCTCCCCAGGGCTTCTTAACAAGAGGTCCCCAGAGCTCAGGCAGCGGGCCCACCTTCTCCCCAACACTTTCCTACAAGCAGATTAGTTGGGCTGCAATCAAGTGTCTTTCTTTGCTTACCAGGGTCCTGCCTGCTGTCTCCTGGATTTTATTAAAATCATTGTTTGCCAATTCACCAATTTTCCAAATGCCATAATTGACACTCAGTGCAAATTAGCAGGGGGCTTCTGCAAAACCCACCATTCACCCTTCCAGTCTAGAATTCCAAGCCCTAGGGGTTAAGATTTTGCAGGTTTTTCTCCCCCTTCCGCCCCTGCAGATTTTACCCAAATCCTACTTAATACCACACATTATTTGGATCTGTGGATCTTTATATTAATGATTAAATATATGTGTGTCTGAGAATATTAAACTCAGAGATTTAAGAGAGAAAAAAACCTAAAAACAAAACATTCCATTTTGCAGACTTTGGATAGCGGTTAAATTCTGTACCTCTGAGAAGAAAGAAGGAGAAGTCACTCAAATCCTGGAGGGAAAAGGCTTCTCCTTTTCTAGAGGCTGAATTCAATTGATGAATCCTTTGGTCCAGGAACATTTAGAGGAAAATCAGAGGGAAAGCAGACCCCTCAGCCTTTCATGACACAGCAAAGCTGCTATGAAACCCAGGAAGGACATTTTTTTTCCAAAGTGCTCAGTGCCTGACTGGGGAGCAGTATGGACCACCTTCCTTTTACATGGATCTAATTCCTAAAAGTCATTGCTGGGGCCTCACAAAGGGTCCTCTAGGGGAAGTCAGTGTAACCAGATCACCTGGGAAAGTGACTCTGGCTGCTGGCTGGGCCTTGTTGTTGTTAGGTGCCATCAAGTTAGAACTGACTCAAAGCTGAGTTTCAGAGGGCATAAATCTCGGAGAGGAAACTGTTCATTTTTTTCCCCCTCAGAGCAGTAGGTGGATTTGAAGAATCTGCATGTTGATAGCACAACTCCTTAGCACTAGACCACTGAAGAAGTTCTCCTATCAAAACTTCCTCATACAAGAGTGTTTCTCCCATAATTTCCCCTGCATTTTGCCTTCCATGCCAGAATCCAGTGGAGAAGCAGGACAGGCAACCACAGAGCCACTTTAACTCTGAATGTCCAAAGTGGTGGGGCTGTCACTTTCTGGAGTTAATGAAGAAACAGTCTGAGATCAGGCCAGAAATCAGAGACATTCCTAACTCAAAACAGGCTTTGCTTTTCTCCTACTTGCCACTCTGGGGATTATCCAATCCCTTCCCAGGCAATTTGTAGTTCTGCTCCCAAGGACCCATTTCTATGCTTGCCAAACAGGAGGTTTCAATGCAGTTTGTTCGGTTGATTTTTTTTTTTTAAGTGACTGCATGTCTAGGTGATTTATCAAGAGAACATGGTGCTATGTCCACCTTCTAGCTTTTCTTTTTTTTATCAATATAATTAATTTTTCCAATCGTTTCAGATGCCACCATTGTATAGCCAGGTGTCTGACCAGATGGATGCTACTCCAGTTCCCAACTTAGAACCAGGCAGCCTGGGTCCAAAGTAGATCCCAGAGAATGATCTGTCTTTAGCAAAGCCTGGAGCCTTCTAGCTCCAGTCAGGTCTGGGAATGTGGCTGAACCTGACAGTTTAACCTAGGAAAAAGCCCAGGGTACCTGGTGCCCAGTCGCTTGTTTTGGTCAGCCACCTGGGGAGAGCCTGAAACTCTTTACGGGATCCCGAAACCATTTTAGCTCTCTGAAACCACTGCCAAAAGGCAGCAGATTAGGAGTGAATCCGAAGATCTTCCAATCCCCTGTGAAGCTTTTAGACACTTCACAGCTGAAAGAGGGAGGGCCTGATAGAATTGGTTTTATTTTGGGTTCAGAGGCAACAGTTTATTTGAAGCAGAGGTATCCTGAAATAGGGCAACAAGTTTTCTCTTCAGTAGAGAGAGAGAGCGAGCCATTTTCTCCTGTGAAACGGGATACCACCATTCCCGGTTGCCCCGGGCCTTGGCGATTGAACTTTGCTTACAGCGCTCATTATGCAAAGGCAGCCCTCAGCCTGGTGACAAAGGCGCCTGTTTGCAGGTGTGTTTGGGGGCTGACGAGGGGTGTGCAAGACCCAAGAGGCCCCTGGGCCTCTCTTGGTGACCCTTGGAGGGTCAAGATGAGGAGAAGGAGGAGGGGAAGCAGTGAGCTGGACTTGTGGGGCTGTGCAGAAGTGCAGCCGGGCTGGTTGCGCAAGTCCACCAGCTGCGCCCCGCCAGTTCGCGCGCAAGGCTTGGGGAGCCAGGCCAGAGTGGGTCAGAAAGGCTCGCAGGTATCGGAGGCAAGGCAGCATGCACTCAACACACTACCACAACCACAACCACACAGTTTTTGAAATAACATTCTCTCCCTCATTCACTACCCGATTGCAACTCAGGAACCATATGCAGCAGAGCCCTGGAGGCCATCGCCTCTGGAAAATGAACCAGGAGCTGAAGGCACTAGCTGGGGGCGAGAGGATAGTGGCTTGCGGGCCTTGGCCCAGACGCGATTCTGTGCGCTCCAGGTGGAGTGCTCTTGTTCACCCTGGTTCTGCAGCACGCTCTAGATGCCACGGATGCTCGCTGATCTGAGTCCTGCAAGGGAAACAAGAACCTCCGGCGCACGCATGCCAGCGAGGCTTGCAGGTTTGGACGTGGCTCCCCAACAACGGTCCTTCACCATCCAAATGCAATGCTGCAGCGGAATGAATTCCTAGGTTTACAAGGGGGCGGGAGCGGACAGAGCAAACTGCAGCCGCGCAGAACCGTGGTCCCTCCTTGCGCCTTGGGCACCGATCGCACTTACCGTCACTGAGGCAGAGTGCAGTCAGCACGAGGGCCAGAACGGCGACAGTTTTAGTGTCCATGTTGCAGGGGCAGGCAGACAGCGCACACACTGCACGGGACTTCGTAGACGAAACTGGACCGAGAGAGAAAGTGCAGTGACTAAAGGCGTGCACTCCAGGCACTTTAGAGGCGAAAGAGGGGAGGGGCGGGGCGGGGCGGGCGCGAGCCAAGGGGCGGGCCTGGGGCTGAAGGGCTTAGTGTGGGACAGTCACCCGCTTAGGAACTGCCTTGCGACTATGGTGTACAGGGGTGTCTTTGACCTCAGACTCCACTGGGCTTCAGCCAGTGAGTGAGTAAATTGGCCTATATCTCATCCTGTTTGCGTAGCTGGGAGTCAGGGCATAGGGCAACTCAAACTTAACTCCCCACCTCCCTCCTTTGCGTGCAGGACCCAGAGGTGCCTGTTGTTATTGTGTGGAATCAACTCATAGCTGACCCTCCAAAGGTTTTCCAGAGGCTGTAAATTGACTATATTTCTCCCTTGGAACAACTGGTAGATTTGAACAGACTATCTTTGAATTGGCCGAGCAACTCCTTATTACCTGGCTATCAGTGCTCCCTACTATCAGAGGTGCATGAACCCCTCAAGTACACACAGTCTTGGAGGCAGAGGAGCGGTTGGAGTAGGCACCAACCTTCTATCCTGGGCCAGTTCACTCAGCTGAAAATCCAAAGTTTGGTAGTTGGATCTCACCAGCCGCTCAGCAGGTCAGAGATGTGGGACTCTGCTCCTATAAAGATTAAACTAACACCATCATGTCCAATATGATCCACAGTGACCATAAAAGAAACATAGAAATAATAGAACTGGCGAGCTCTGGTGGCCTAGTGGCAGGAAACTGCACTGCAATCCCAGAGGTGCATGGTTCAAATCCACCAGATGCTCTGCTGAAGAAAGAGGAACAATCGCCTACTGTACCAGTCAGATTCAATTTGATGGTACACACATAAAATAAATAAATAAATAATAATAATAATAATAGAAAAATAATAGAACTGACCAGGCATATCATATCAT